AGTTTGAACCATGCAGAATCTGGAACAATAGTGCAAATGGGATCTGATCTATTTTGTTTTGACATTGTTTTGTGTTTCCACTGTAAAATCATTTAATGCTTATCCATTTTTGATGAAAGTTTCTGGCTTTAAAAGCCATTGCCTTTGAATTAATTCTATATGTGCTCAAGTCAGTTGAACTTTATAGAATCATTTTATTTGCTTCTTTTTAATAGTTCCACATTGAAAAATAAGAGAGAATCATATGGTTTTTAAGGTCTTGGGTTAGACTAGCTAATTAATTGGATTCGTTTAATGTGATTTCGCCATGTTCATTATAGCCTAGATGAGTGACCTCGGCCCAATCTTAGATTCTAACATGTTATCAAAGCTTGTTCGGTCCACTTTGTGTTTACCCGATTGTTGTCTGCTAGTGGTATTAGTGGCGTCTAAGCTTCCATTTTAGGGGGATGGTCCAATCCCAAGCTTGTTCAGTCCAGTTTGAGCTCATTTGATCGGTTGTCCACTTGAGGGGGAGTGTTAAGACTTAAGAGTTCCACATTAAGAAATAAGAAAGAAACATATGAGTTTATAAGGCCCGTATGGCTAATGAACTCCTTGCTTTAGTCCGTTCTTTTCTTGCTTTGGGCTCGGGTCAATAGTCACCATGGTAGTAATGTCTCAGAGCCTGGCTACTGACCCGAGGCGTAGATCAGGAAATGCATATCATAAATGGTTGTTAAACATAATTCTAGAAGAGGTGTCACCACAACAACAACAAAAAAAAAAAGTTTGGGTCTTCAAGTGAAAGTTTATTAGACTAGTACCACTAACATGGCGGGGAAACTTACTTTCGAGAGAGCTGCTTTCGCCTCGGTAATTACCTAACGAAAGAGAGATGGTAGTGAGGCAAAGAATATTGTCTTGGGTTTATAAGGCCCTAGGTTAGACTAGCTAATTGATTGGATTCAATTTTTTAGTGTGGTTTGGCCCATGTGCATTACAACCCATTTGAGTAACCTTGGCCCAATCTTAGATTCTAACACTTCCCTTTCTAGAAACTAGAACCATGACTTATGAATCAAGATCTTTCGCAAAGGAGCTGAAGTAATTCTGATTTCTGTAGGTTCAATGTCTAACTTTACCTTCAGAAAATGTATTAATAATTAAAAATGATAATAGAAAACCACCTAAGCTTTTGCTGTTTTGCAGAAGTGCAGAACTCCTTATTGCCTAGTGCCTACACCTCTTCATCCCTTCAACCATTCTCTCTCACTTTGATTAGTACTAAAAAAGAGCCACAAATTCCACTGAGGTTCACCAGTACTGTGATTCATTTTTTAAGTTGTTTATAAAATGTAATTATGTTATCTGATTTTTTGCATCTAATCGGACAAGGTGACAGTCTGGAGGGTGAAACCTAATAAATATTTTGGAAGACTAATGGCTGGTGAAGGCGGTATTCTTTTTCTAGTATTCTAGAATATGTTAGTTTTCGGTGTTAGTCATTAAGATATTAAATTTCTTTTGTGGGACTCTGCTTCTTTTGTTTCAGAAACTCAATTTGTTGTATGTGTAATATTGACATTAATGATGGAGAAAATTTTCTTTTTCGCTCACTGTTAAACACAATGCAGAATGCAAATGGATTAGGTTTACAAGCTGTAACTGGTGACAATTATTGTGAGGTTACACTGAAGTTTCCCAGCAAAACTGTCCCAAAGTGGGTATGTTTTCTTGAATCTTGAGTTCTATATCTCCCTTTTCCTTCCTCCATGTTTATTTTGCATACAAACTGTAAGGTTTCTGGAGTGCACTTGGATGTTAGTTTGTACTATAGAGTTTTAGACCAAATCAGCCTATTAATATTTCATATTATCATCCTCTTTGTTTTGTCAAATTCAATAGAAAGATCCAAAAACAGGAGAACTTGAGGGACTGTCATATCAGTTGAACATATGTGAAGCTGTGGCTACATGGGAACAGGTTGGTATGCTTTTCTCTAACAATTGAAACCTAATTCTATGCATAATTGTGATAGTGTTGTTGTCAAGATAAGCTGATCATTTTCATCATTGTTGCCAAATGGAATATTAACACAAGAAGTATACTTTCTGGTTCTTTCCTCTATGAACCCAAAAATATACTTCCATATGTATTTTCATCTAACTTGCTTTGAAGATGATTAAAGAAATTAGTGGGATATTTGTTCCTTTGGATTATATGTGTGCTACAGTTCACTTAATCTACAGTGAATGGCTTGACCAGATCAGAAACAGTACCACAGTACTGACAAGAGAGTACATTGATAATCTACCAAATGGATGGGAGGATTATGCCTGGAAAAGGATTAACAAGGGCATACAGCTGTAAGCATCTTTCATTCTTGAAACTAAATACTTTCTCTGTTTCTCTTGGTATTAAAAGAGTAATGCATACATAAATGAGTGTACAATTTAAAAGACCGCTTCTTATTTCACATGCTTTCAGTGTATTTTGCGATTTTTTGTCAAACTTCAACAGATTGTTTAGTGCTGAAATCTGCAATTATTTTCTTTTTCTCTAAGTGCTATCCAAGTTCTCTTAAATTTCTTGGTGAAAATGAAGTTTTCAGCAAGTGCAAGCCAAATATCAGTCAGTTTATGCGATGCCTTAAAGCTGCTGTTTTTGGGTTATCCTACAAATATTTTCTGTTTGAAGATGGACTACATTTTTATGCAGGAACCGGTGTGAGAATAAAACACTATGCATGGAGAAACTTTCTCTAGTACTCCCTGATATACCACCCTTCTTCCCAAGGCAGTATGATCGATGCGCTGTTATTGGTAACTCAGGAGACCTTCTCAAAACAAAATTTGGGAAGGAAATAGATAGTTATGATGCCGTCTTCAGGGAAAATGGAGCTCCAATTCAGGTTAGATGATCTATTCTTTTGCTCTGCTTCTCATTTGAGTTTCCCTTATTAAGTATTTGTCACTGTGCTCTTAGCAGCTCCTTTTTCTGATTTATACAGAACTACACTGAATATGTAGGCACGAAAAGTACATTTCGACTTCTCAATAGGGGTTCTGCTAAAGCTCTTGATAAAGTAGCTGAACTATATGGTATTGCCTCCATTCCCGTGTTTTTAGACCTAGGCCCCATATTATGGGCATGATAAAGGCTTTTTATTTATGCAGATGCTGGCAAGGAGACCTTGATCATTAAAACAACGATACATGATATTATGAATCAAATGATTCGAGTATGCGTCATTTTTCTTACTGTTCATTTGGACTGATTTGATTTTCTGTTCCTTACTGCCTTGGTTGTGTGTTCTATTCCAACTATGGGTGGACAAAGAGCCAACAATGGTGGATAGGAGGAAAGTCATAAAATAGGGAGTATCAACTTTAGTATATGCCTTTTTTAGTGTATATATATTATGATGATGATGTGTATGGCTAAGCATGGCATGTGGATTGCTTGATGATCCATTTGCATTTAAAATCAGTTTCTGCCCCTGGTGAAGCCTCACAACTCCATAATCATGCATTTTCTCTAACAATTTGACTTGTATACATAAAAATAAGCATAGGATAAGTGGTAATGTTCCTTCTTTCTATCCCACCCCCCCCCCCCCCACCCACCCTTTTTTTTCTTCCTCTTGTGATAGATAGATTAGTACAGAGAACACTATTGAAGTTTTATTTTTGTGTACGGAATTAAAGATCTCTTCAATTATGAAAGGTTTTTGTATTGTGTTGAATATTAGGAAACCTTTGTCTCATTCCTAGTAGAAGCTGTATTAGGACTAATTTAGTATATAGTTTAGTATATATAGAGGTCCATAGAAGTATAGTGTACACACACAGAGAGATTAATCTATTGTAATCTTTCATAATAATATACTCTTTCTATTATCTTCGCTTTTGTTCTCACATATTTTGCTTCTGCCTAACTGGCGGTTGGTGGTTATTCTCCACCCGCCAGGCCTTTCAATCCCAATTTCAACACATTATCTATGGTTTTGTACTATTTTGTCTAAGTGGAGCTTTTACTTCATCATGAAGTTTTCTTCTTACTGCTTCAATTCTACAAGTACAGTATGTTGAAACACAAAAGTTGTGTCTGTAGAAATATAGCTGTTGAAGTTGTGTAGGGTTGTGTCTATTAGGATTGTGTCTCTTAGTCTGTATATATTTATCTATTGTCTCCTCATTGAGACAAGCAAGTAATAAAAACTTCTTCTACATCTTCTTTCTCAACATGGTATCAAGAGCCAAAAGTCAAAATTTGAAATTTTTTTTCCGGTGAACAGTATGTTACTGTTCATTCGAAATTAATTTTTCAAATTACTTGCTATTGGTGAGATATTTTATCAAATTAGTACTACAGCCGCCTTACCCATCCTCCGGCGACCATTACCCATTAATTCCGGTCGCCGGAATCTCCTCCACGCGCCTCCACGCGCCACCGCGTCGCCGACGCTCCGACACCACGCGCCGGCGCGTGAGGCCATCTCCGGCGGCTTTTTCCGGCGATATTTTCCAGATCGTATCGTCGACTCTCCTCCTTTCCTTCCGTGCAATCAGATTTATTTTTGGTCACGATGTCTTCCGACGGAAATTCTGATACTTCGGGTACTATTTCTCCTGCCAATAATTTATCTACTTCTTCGAGCTCTGTTTATGTGCCTAATCTGTCTGGAAACCCGGTAATCACTTCTGAAAGATTATGTGGTTCTCAAAATTACCACTCTTGGTCGGATGCCGTAGAATTATGGTTTATGGGCCAAGGTGTTGTTGACCACTTGCAAAAAGAAGTGGATATGATACCGGAAAAAGAAAAGACAGTTTGGCAAAGGTTAGATGCTCAACTTTGTAGTCTCCTTTGGCAGTCTCTTTCTCCACAATTGTTGCCTTTATTCCGGCCCTTTAAGACATGTGTCGGGGTGTGGAGTCAAGCTCAATCTCTGTACACTAATGATGTCTCTCAATTCTATAATGTTGTTGACAATTTGGTTAACTTAAAGAAAGATGGTATTGATATGGAAACTTTTCTTGGCAAAGCCCAAAGTTTGATTGCTGAGTTTGGTACACTCATGCCTATTGGTGGTACACCCGCAGAGCAACTTACCCAACGAGAGAAATTCTTTGTCATACTTCTCTTAACCAAATTAGGTCCAGAATTTGAAAGCATCCGGAATCAAGTTCTTGGAAGCAACATTGTCCCGGGGACCACCGAGTTGTTCAAACGGCTCTTGCAGGTCACCTCCATTCCGGGTACTCACACATCCACTACCGAACAATCTGCTCTAGTCACACAAGGAGGTCGTGGACGAACTAACAATCGTGGTGGACAGAAAAACACTAGAGTGTGTGATTATTGTAATAGAACTGGGCACACACGAGATCAGTGTTGGAAACTTCATGGGAGACCGGTACGTACGCAAGCAAGTGTTGCTCAATCTCAACCTGGGGAACCAAATTCTCGAACCATTTCCGCTGCTGAGTATGAAGAGTTTGTTCGATTTAAAGCCACTCCCAAAGCTTCTGGTTTAACTCCTGCAGCCTACACTGATGGAACTCATACTGCCCTTGTATCACAATCTGGCCTGAGCGGACCATGGGTTATTGATTCAGGTGCCTCTGAGCATATCTCTGGTAACTCATCTTTATTTTCTCATTTCACCAAGTCTAAGTCCCTTCCATCTATTGTTTTCGGTAATGGGTCCAAGAGTACGGCTACTGCAATTGGAAAGGCTTCCCCCCTTCCTACTTTGCCTCTCTCTTCAATTCTTTATATACCTAACTGTCCTTTCAATTTAATTTCTGTTCATCAACTTACAAAATCTTTGGACTGTACGGTCACTTTTTCTTCTGATTCTGTCATTATGCAGGACCGTCGTTCGGGGAAGATGATTGGCTCGGGGTATGAATCAGAAGGACTTTATCGATTATCTACCCCAAACCCTTCTACAGTTTGCACTGCTACCATTCCTCCTTCCCTTGCCCATGACCGACTAGGACATCCTAGCCTTAAAAAATTACGGCGACTTGTCCCTAGTTTGTCTCACTTATCTACCCTAGAGTGTGAAGCCTGTCAGCTTGGCAAACATTCTAGAACATTGTTTCCTAATCGTGTTAATAAAAGAGCTGCTTTCCCTTTTTCCTTAGTTCATACTGATGTTTGGGGACCTTTTCGTTATAATTCAATTCTTGGTTTTAAATATTTTGTTACCTTCACTGTTGATTTTTCTCGTTGTACATGGGTCTTTTTAATGCAAAACCGTTCTGAAGTACTTAATGTTCTTCAAAAATTTGATAATGAGATAAAAAAATCAGTTTGGGGTGTCTATTAAAACTTTACGAAGTGATAATGCTGGAGAATACTTTACAACTCCTTTATCTAACTTTCTTGATTCAGCGGGCATCCTCCATGAGTCATCTTGTCCCGATACTCCACAACAAAATGGGGTATCTGAACGTAAAAACCGGCATCTCGTTGAAACAGCTCGCACCATGATTCTCCACTATAAAGTCCCTCCAGAATTCTGGGCAGATGCTATCCTTCATTCCTGTTATTTAATAAATCGTATGCCTTCATCTGTTTTACATGGTAAGATACCTTATAATATTTTATTTCCCGATAAGCCTCTTCATACTCTTCCTTTAAAAATTTTTGGGTGCACCTGTTTTGTCCGGGACACTACCCCAGGGCGTGATAAATTTTCTCCAAAATCCTTAAAATGCATGTTTGTTGGGTACTCTAGGTTGCAAAAGGGTTTCAGATGTTATTCTCCTGATAAGCATCGATTTTATGTATCTTCTGATGTTACTTTCTTTGAATCAACACCTTTCTTTTCGTCTAGTTTACCGACCTCCATCTCTCACTTTCCTGATGTTCTTCCTGTTCCTACTTTTCAAGGAGGGACCGAGGTACATTTACCTCAAGATCCGTCATCACCTAGAAATCCTAGTCCCTCACCTACTGAACCTCCTTTACAAAACAACGGTGTTACCCCCTTTCCTTACACTTATCATCGCCGCTCTCGACCACCCGCGACAGTTCAAATCGATGAAATCCCAACTGATTCATCTCTCGAGCTATCTATGCCCTCGAACCCGGTTCCGGCAACAAGCTCTCCTATTGCAAGTCGTGTAGGTAACAGGTCATCACGAAATCCCTTTCCCATATACAACTTTATTTCATATGATCGTCTCTCACCTTCATATAATGCTTTTATCACATGTTTATCTTCTGTTTCTGCCCCTAAATCTGTTAAAGAAGCCCTTTCCCACCCTGGTTGGCGTCAGGCTATGATTGATGAAATGGCTGCTCTTCATTCATCGGGAACTTGGGAGTTAGTTTCATTACCCGAAGGTAAAACAACTGTTGGTTGCCGATGGATCTATACTGTGAAAGTTGGGCCCAATGGACAGGTTGATAGACTTAAAGCTCGACTGGTAGCTAAAGGATATACACAGGTTTTTGGGATTGATTACACTGACACCTTTTCACCAGTAGCTAAAATTGCTTCGGTCAGAATCTTTCTTTCTATGGTTGCCGTTCATCATTGGCCCTTGCATCAGTTAGATATTAAAAATGCCTTTCTGCATGGAGATTTAGAGGAAGAAGTCTACATGGAGCAACCTCCTGGGTTTGTTGCTCAGGGGGAGAGTAACTTGGTTTGTAAGCTCAAACGTTCTCTCTATGGTCTAAAACAATCTCCTCGTGCCTGGTTTGGACGGTTCAGCATAGTAGTGCAAAATTTTGGTTTAAATCGAAGCAAAGTTGACTATTCCGTCTTTTATAGACATCAACATGGTAAGAGCATTTATCTTGTTGTATATGTTGATGATATTGTCATTACAGGAGATGATGTTGAAGGAATACAATTGTTGAAACAACATCTATTCCAACATTTTGAAACAAAAGATCTGGGGAAGTTAAAATACTTTTTGGGAATTGAAGTAGCACAATCCAAGCAAGGAATTTGCATATCACAAAGAAAGTATGCATTGGATATACTAGAAGACACAGGTATATGATGAATTGCAAACCTCTTGACACTCCTATGGATCCAAATATCAAACTCCTACCAGACCAGGGGGAGCTTATCCAAGATCCGGGAAAATATAGACGATTGGTTGGAAGATTACTTTATTTAACTGTAACTCGACCTGATATCTCTTTTGCGGTAAGTGTTGTTAGTCAGTTCTTGGCATCTCCACGAGAAAGTCATTGGGAAGCTGCCATTCGGATTTTACGATATATTAAAAAATCTCCAGGCACTGGTTTGTTATACAAAAACCATGGAAACCTTGAAATTATTGGGTACACAGATGCAGATTGGGCAGGTGCATGGGATAGAAAATCAACATCTGGATATTGTATCTTTCTTGGTGGCAACTTAATCTCTTGGAAAAGTAAAAAGCAAAATGTTGTTGCTCGATCAAGTGCAGAAGCCGAATATCGATCTATGGCCGTTGGAACATGTGAACTTGTGTGGTTGAAAAACCTCCTTACCGAACTGCAGATTTGTACAAAGGAGTCCATGAAGCTCATTTGTGATAACCAAGCAGCTTTGCATATTGCATCAAATCCAGTTTTTCATGAAAGGACGAAACACATTGAAATTGATTGCCATTTTGTTCGAGACAAACTTACTTCTGGAGATATTACTACATCTTTTATAGGCTCAAATAATCAATTAGCTGATATATTTACTAAAGCTTTAAGAAGTCATAGGATTGAATACATTTGTAACAAGCTTGGTGCATATGATATACATGCTCCAGCTTGAGGGGGAGTGTTGAAACACAAAAGTTGTGTCTGTAGAAATATAGCTGTTGAAGTTGTGTAGGGTTGTGTCTATTAGGATTGTGTCTCTTAGTCTGTATATATTTATCTATTGTCTCCTCATTGAGACAAGCAAGTAATAAAAACTTCTTCTACATCTTCTTTCTCAACACAGTATATGCTCCAAGATAATTGAACTTGTGGATTGTTTCCCTGTTCTTTTTAATTCATCATACTTCTTTTGACACGTTTTAATTAAAACTTCAATTTGTGTATGCTCAGATATTTGCTATTTTTGGTGCTGTCTATCATTGCTCTTTGCTGCCACAAGTTTTCTCTTGTCAGTTCTGTGCATATTTTATGAATGTGCCAGTGTAACAATTAGATAATCTATTTATATTTTCTTTCTTTCTTTCTTTCTTTCTTTTTATTTTTATTTTTATTTTTTGATAATCTATCCCTTTCTTCAATTAATATAATTATGTCAAATGAGAAATTTTCTTTTCATTACCTACTAAATAGATTTGACTGATAAGCAGTTGCCTAGTACCACAAGAAACTGGAAGTTGAGGACCAGGAAATCAAACTTTTAGAAATATAATCGAATATGATACTTTTGTTCAGTGTGGAAAGCCAACACTGTTGTAATTATGAGTATTTGAAACAGGAGGGTGGAACAAAGAAAATGACTATGGACTGAAGTTCCCTTATGATCTTTTTTCTTTTTATTCTTTATTTGGGAGGTAAGAACTAGGGTATCGGATAATTCTTTTAGGCAATGTTGTTTGGAGAAATGCCAATACAAGGTGGACAAAAGATGCTGGAATTATTATCTGCTCTCCCCTCTCTAGTCTATACCAAATCCATAGTCAAAATGTTCTATTCATATTTGTGAAGTAGGAAGTGGATCCATATTTTGGTTATGGAGAGAGCTAATTGATATACTATTAACTATATTGAGCACCATATTTATATTCCTGTTTGTCTAAACCTTTTAATATTTGATGGTGTCATGAGATGCTCCAAAGTTTACCAAACCAGAGTAAGCCAAAAGTTTTCCCCACTTTAGTGTGGACATCTAGTTGATCCAGGAAAATTTAATATGAATAGATTTGTTACCTTCACATAGACTTTGACTATGCGTTTTTGTTATTCTGTAGGAAGTTCCAATTCTCAATCCTATATACTTAATGTTGGGCGCATCCTTTGGTTCAGCAGCAAAAGGAACAGGACTAAAGGCCCTTGAATTTGCTCTTTCCATCTGTGAATCAGTGGACATGTATGGATTTACTGTTGATCCAGGCTATAAAGAATGGTAAGTGAAGATAACAGAAACCTCCAGAGTGTGTTCTGTTTCCTTTTACTTTCCCTTTTGTTTAAACAAAATAATTTGGCATAAACAAAAAGGCTATTAAACAAAGCCAAGAAAATGGATTTAAGCGGCCCTTTTGGTCATCTCAGGACCAGATATTTCTCAGAGTCGAGACAGGGTCATACCCCACTGCAGGGAAGGGCTTACTATCAAATGATGGAATGCTTAGGGGTAAGTTTCCAACTGCTTTTACTAGTTGCAATGGTTTCTCACTGGATATTTCCCTGGCTTTAATATTCCATCTAAAAATGGTGGATTTTTTTGTAATTAATTTGTTAAGAACTTGGGACAGCAGCATATTGGTGGTCATCTATTAGAGTCCATAATTAAATTTTAGAATTGAATTTTGTAGCTAACTTCTCTCTTGGTATGCAAGAACTTTGTACTCCATGTTCAAATTCCATTTTAATAAAAAGGGACATTCTAAATTTACCAAAAAATAAAGATAAGAAAGACATTCCGAGCCTTATTTATGGACTCAAAGTATGCTATTTTAAGAAGCTTAAAATTAAGTAAAGTCGAATCTCACCATTCCCATCTCTCATTAGATGTACTAAAAAAAAGGAAAAAAAGAAAGAAAAATCAACATTTGATCATTGGAGGTGGTCCATGAAAAGTTCTTTTTGTGCATTGACAATTGTGTAATAACTTAATCTGAGGAATGTTGTGAAGAAGATAATGGATGAAAATGCTCACAAGTCACATCGTTGCCTTGTTGTATGGTATTTCTAGAAATGTGGTACTTCCTTTATCCCCAATTATATGACACTTTATTTTGGGACATTTCAAATGTTTAACATACTTTATAGATGCTAGTATGCTGCTACTACATACACTCTCCACCACTTTGAAAAGTTCAAACCCAGTTAAATTTAGACAATTTTTATGATGTTTTCTGTAAAAAAATTCAGAACTTAGCAGCTGAAGATTTTCAT